GCACGTGGCCCTTGAGGCTGCCCCGAGTTCGATTCCTCTGCCCCTCTCAGAGAGCGTGGCAAGCTACCGAGAGTATCTCGCCCGCACGGCAAAGCCTGGCAAGCTCCCCGTGGCGTATTAGATATGCCAAACACAGTAACAACAAGTCTCAGGATGGAGACATTATGGGGCCTGCTCGAGCAAATCGATGAACAATGGGAGGACAGTGTGGTAGTGGGAAGATAGGGGAAAGTTGAAGATAGGTGCAAATCTCGAATGAACTCCAAAATTTGGAGTGTTTGTTCACATCAGCTTGCAGGCTGTTCTGCTAGGCAAAGCAGCAGCCTCCCAAAAGAAGCACAGTTGGTTGGTTAGAATAAAGCACATCCTGATGCACCTGTCCTTTTCATAAGCACCCACAAAATTAACTTCACCAGACCCACATCCTGGTACCCCATAAATTTATATAAGCATAGTGAGGCAAGCATAGTTACCAAAGCAAAGAAAAGCGAATACAGAAATAAATCAGCTATTGATGTTTACTACCTCACTTTGGTGGGACCCTTACCTATTGTTCCTATTTGCACACTGTGATGATCCGGCACCCTAGTGGAGTGGTTACAAGAAATTGAGTATGTTTATGGAATAATTCTGCTAAGAAGCAAACTTTTAAACTAAATTTCATATTTTTACTGTAACAAACACCAAATCATAGCCAAACAATAGATCTACATGTCTGAAAAAGAGGCTTTCTTCTCCTGCACAACTGCTATACAGTTTTTCTTGCCCACTGGTTTAAATTTTGAAGAATTATAGCTTAATAAATCATCAAGTACTAAAATATTAAAAGACTATTTAGCTGCAAAGCAGTTAAGGGATTTTCCGTTCATTTGTCTGATCCATGTAGAATCACGGCCATGTAGACCTTGAGCACTGTTTGAAGAGTTGCTGTGCATAGCTCTCACGGAATAACTGGAGAGCACCCTTTGCTTTGAACACACACAAATACAGACACATGAATCTTTGCTTACACAAATATCTTCCCAGTCATCACCAATCTCTGAGTCCCCTTCTGGGCTACCCCTGACCCCTTTCTGAGCCACGTGATTCACTTAGTTTCTAGCTCTTTCCTATCATTGTGAAAATAAACAGTTGAAGCTACTCCAGACCTGGACTTTCAGTGCGATACAAATGAATGTGGGTACTCAGAGGGAAGGTCTGGGTGGCTGTTTGCAAAGTATCTTTGTGAATTTTATTCCCTTCGTCAAAACAAAGACTTCTGATCGACACACTATCTGTTCAGTTGGTCACTCTCCATTTATCCCAGACCTGGCAAACAGCAGATGTCCTGATCACCTGATCCTATCCCAGAAAAGGGGAAAAATGAACCTTCTGACCAGGCAAGTACCTGGTTAGGAATATTTGAAGCCTGGCCCTTTAAGGCTCTTGGCAAAGGTGCTGATGAAGTCATGGAATCAGGATCTGATTTCCCAGGGGGTCCAGGCAGTTGGGGCGGAAGTGCTGGTGGGCCGCTGTGGAAGGTGAGGAGAGGGTGAGGGGGCACCCACGGGGCAGGGGGGTCCGGGAAGGTCGGTTTCCCGCTGGCCGCCTGAGTGGTCGCTCTGAGCACCTGAACGTCCGCGGTCTCTGCCTTGTGGGCGACAGGGTCGCTCCGTGTCGGTGGCCGGGGGTGGCAGCCCCTCACCCGGAACCCACGAAGTGCTCCTGCCAAAAGCTTTATCTTGCATATAAATTGATTTTGAGGGGAACAAGGTTGTTGTTACTAAGGAGAATTTATTTAGAAAGATGCCTAAGGGGGGGACCGCGGCCGGCCGGGTTCGATCCTGGCACCCCACAGCGTCCTGGCACCAGCCTGGAGTGAGCCCAGAGCTGGGGGCCAGTGATGGGGTGGGTGGGGGAAGGGGCAGGGCACATGTATGTGCTTGGGGCTCAGAAGCATTTGGCAGAGCCTTTGATTTTCACTTGTTCCTTGTGCATTCAGTGGGTTCTGGGAGTACAGGGAGGTGGGAGCTTCTCTTTACTTTTTCTTTTTTTTAATTTTGCTTTTTGGGTCACACCCAGCGATGCACATGGGTTCATCCTGGCTCTCCGTTCAGCAAGCACTCCTAGTGGTGCCAGGAACAATGAGAGATGCCCAGAATTAAACCCAGTTTGGCTGCCTTCAAAACAAATGCTCATTTGTCTATGCTATCACTCAGCCCCCAAGATGTAGAGCTTTAATACAACTCAGTGTTGGGGGGTGGGTCCAGAGGGGTGCATCAGGGTTGTTCCATGCTACAGTGGGTCTTGCAACCAAATGTGCAATCTCAGCAGGAAGTTGCTCGGAGACTTCTAGAGTGTGCCCTAAACCCTCTAGTAATGCAATTTCGGATCAGAATTGGCCACACCCCTTTATTCATTTAAATGAATTAATTATTTAATCTCGAGGAGTAAAACTACAAGACTCAGTTACTTCTCCTCCCTCTGCACTCAAGGATCATTTCTGGATGGGGTCAGGGAACCGTGTGGGATGCCAGGATTCAAACTTGGTTTGGCCGATTGGAAGACAGGCACCTCGTCTGCTATACGATCTCTCCAATTGCTTTATAATCTTTTTTATTGTAGTTTTTTGGGCCACAGCACCACTCAGGGCTCAGGGATACTCTTGTTTCTGAGCTCAGGCATCATTTTTAATAGTGCTGGGGTGGGTTAGCGTATGCACTGTTACATATTGACCCCGACTTAGCTGCTTGAAAGAAAAGCACCCTATCAATTTACTATCTTTTTTAACCCTATATGATTATATTTCCTCAGAAAAAAGAATTCCTGCCTCACCTGTCAAAATTCCAAGCATCCCTCACTGTCCATCTCTCCCAGACCAGGGTTGTACCCTGCTGTTGAAGTGAGTACTTGCAGAAAGGGGTTTTCTGGGGACCAGCTGAAATAGGTTTTAAATGTCTCACTCTTAAGGGCTGGTCAGTAGTATAGTCAGGAGGCCGTTGGTCTTTCTTGCAGTGACCAGGGTTATCCCCGACACACCATAGGGTCCACTGAGCATCAGTACGTATGACCGCAATCCTCCCACTCCAGAATTTGTTTTGACACACAAGCATTCTTTGAACTTCTTTTTGGGTGTTGGGGTATTTCTCCTGTCTTTTCCCCCAACCCCCCATTTGCTACAAACTTGGAGATAGTCAGAGACTCCCCCCCCTCAGTGTCCGTGTGTCTGGGATGCAGGGGGAGCCATGCCATATCCCCCAAAAGTAAAGCACGTGCTCAGCCCTCTGAGCTCCTCTCTCTGGGTCTATCTCACTGCTCGGGGAGCAGACGAGATGAGATTTGGGACCACACCTGGCAGTGCTTGAGGTATGTGCCCTGCTCAGGGGACTAGTGGGTAAGGGGTACCAGGGAAGGCCCTCTGGCTTTCAGTTGGCCAGTATCTGCTTCAGTCTGGTGTATTCTCTCCTACTCCTCTATTTATACCTTAATTGGAAGTTCTTAGATATGAACATTCTTAAGTCCTTTGAACAAGAGGCTGTTAGGAGGAAAGGAAGGACTTGGAGGCTCTGAGCGAAATTATGGACTTTAAACTTTAATTTGGGATAAGTGCACTTTTTTCCTCCACTTTTTGCGTCACACTGGTGATGCTCAGGGCTTATTCCTGGCTCTGCACTCAGCCTCTGTACTCAGGAATCACTCCTGGCAGTGCTAGGGGAACCATATGGGATGCCAGGGACCAAACCCAGGTCAGGTGTGTGCAAGTCAAACGCCCTGCACACTGTACTGTCACTCTGGCCCCAAGTGTAATTTTTATCCCCATTTTCTTTTATAAAAGCATGTACTCATAGGAGTATATGCATGCGGCCCACTCAGGTTGAATTCACAGCATCCCTTATGGTCCCCTAAGCACCACCAGGAGTAACTCCTGACTGCATGAACCAGGAGTAACCCCTGTGCATTGCCAGGTGTGACTCAAAAATTTAAAAAAAGGTATAGAAGAGCACTTCTCACTTCACTAATATTAGAGGGGGAAAAAACCTGAAACTTTTTTGGGGGGGAAGTAGTAAAAATCCCAATAATCTAGTTGTCATATGATACTATAAATCATTTAGGTTGTTGAAAAGGCTAAGTAGCGCCTTTTTACCAGGAAAGTTTGCTAACTGTAAGCTCAGTATATACCTCCATTCTAGGACGGGTCCTCATACAGTTTCAGTAATATTTTTGATTTTGGACGCACACCTGACACTTCTGGTGGTGCTCAGGCAACCATTTTGGATGCCAGGGATGGGACTCAAGTTGACCAAGTTCAGTGCAAGTGCTAACCCACTGTACTCGTCACTCCTGGTCCATACTCTGGGTTTGAAAATGTATTTCTGAAGCCTCCCCATCGAACGTTCCTTGCCAGTGACTTTCCATTGCTCCTGTGTTGTCAGAGGTAGAGCATTAACGCGTAAATTGCTCTCAGATGTCCTTAGCAGCCTTTCTTCCTGTTCTAGTATCTGTACAGCTCTCAGGTGGCTGCTCTCTGTCTGGGTTGTTCCAGTTCCTCTCCAGGGCTGGTTTCCCAGTCACTGCTTCAATCCCATCTTGATTTGTTACTTCCCTGAGAAACTCACTGTCCTGTGCCCCACCGTCCTGTGCCCCACCCACTCCCTACTTGCCTGTTTTACCCGGATCAACCCTGTTGCAGTTTTCCTGATGGCCTTTTGTATGAGAGCATTGACTCCACACTTGACTGACCAGTAAAGCATCAGGGGACTTCTTCTTACTCGAGCTCCCACGCTGACCAGCTATTCCAGCAGCTGCCTCTCCACCCCTTTATGGGAATCCATCCCGCTCCTGTCACTGATTCACCTGGGTGGGGATAAAGGTTTTCTGCTCATCTCGAGTCTGGCCCTTTAAGGCTGCTTGCAGCACCGGAAGTGACATCACAGCGGGGCCTTCCTGGTGCTTGTCTTCCTGGAAACTGGGTCAGAGAGTCCTTGTTCATGTGAGTAAAGGACAAAGTGGGGCCCCAGTGAGAAAGCGGGACTCTGAAAGCCGATTTTGTCTTGCTGCAGGACGGGGGTGGCCTCCGGGGAGCGGCTGTGCCTCCCCAAGTCCACACTGTGAGCCTGTGGGACTGCGCCAGCTCTAGGGGCTTCTCGCGCTTGTTTTTCTTGTGTTCCCTGATATCCAGGAGGTTCCTGAGGTATGATGGAGTCTTTTGGGGGGCGCGGAGCTTTGGGAGGTGCGTCGGGGGCTGTAGTGGGATGCAGGAGTTGCGGGTGTGTGTGTTTGATCCAGTGGAGCCGCTGTGGCCAGTCACCTTCAGCTCCGCGAGTTGGCGCGGGGCTGAGCGCGGGGGCTGCAGGCCTTGGGGTACAGGATCTGCCAAGGACGGGGTCTTGTGCGTCTGGACCTTCCGAGCTGACCCATGTTGAGTCCTTGCCCCAGTTTCGCTGCTGCAGTATCTCCAGATTCACTTTGAGGGGCACAGCCACAGCCCCCCCAAAGGCTTGAGACCCTGTTGCTGTCCAGCTTTTTCATCGGTTGCCCTCGTGGGTCAGCCCGGGGTGGTGGATCTGCAGGTGGCCGGGGTTTGCCAATGATAATTTCCTTTTGGGGCTACTTTTGGCGTGGGGAATGGGGGTTCTGCATTCCCGGAGATACCCTGAGGGCTTTCTCTGGCTCTGGCCTCAGATATTATTCCTGGCAGTGCACTGGGGCCGTGGGGATGCAGAGGATTGATTCAACGCAAGCATCCTAACACGTTTACTGTATGTTGGAATAGGAATATCTGTCTCCTCACATCAAGTTGCAAAGTCCTGCCCAGATACCTGGCTATCGAGGTGAGTACTGCGGGTAAAGAGTGTGTGTGTTCGTGTGTTTGTGTACTGCTGGTAAAAGTGTATGTCTGTACAAAGTTTTTATTTATTTTTTTGCTTTTTGGGTCTCACCCAGCCAATGCTCAGGGGTTACTACTGGCTCTGTACTCAGGAAGCACTCCTGGCGGTGCTTGGGGGACCATGTGGGATGCTGGGAATTGAATCCGGGTTGAACGCGTGCAAGGCAAACACCCTACCCACTGTGCTATTGCTCCAGCCCCTGTAGAAAATTTTTAAAAAATTTTATTTGCTTTTTGGTTCACACCTGGCGATGCAAGGGGTTACTCCTGGTTCTGTCTCAAGAATTACTCCTCTGGTGCTCAGAGGACCATATGGAATGCTGGGAATCGAACCCAAATCGACCACTTGCAAAGCAAATCGCCCTACCCACTGTTCAACCATTCCAGCCCCTGATTTTTCTTATTTTTTTTTTTAAGAAGAGAGGGGCTTCCCCATGCACTCATAGCCCAAACTGTGCCTCTCTCATGTGGCCAGAAGGGGGTGCTGATGCACGGGATTTCCTGGCCTCAGAGGTCTTCCTGGCTGGGCCTGTGAGCACCTCTGTGGGATCCGGGAGGAGTCCCCAGACCAAGGCAGGGCCGACTTTTCTCTCTTTTAGCCAAGCCCAGAACTTGTGTCGCGAAAGGCAGCATAGATGCCAACCCATTTTTCTTCTCCTGGGGAGACTGAAGCATTAGGCAGTGTCTCCCAGGCGGGTCTTTGAGCCAGTGCGCGAGTGTGTGGCTGGTCAGAACTTGGGGGTTTTGCTCCTGTTCAGTGCTCACAATTCTGACTTCTCCAGTTCTGATCCTCGGGAAAAACAGAGGCAGTAGAAGATGGTGAGATGCCGTCGAACACATCAACCCCAGGTAGGAGTGACAAAATGAGGTGATGCAGTGACAGGAGCTTCAGGCTTCCCAGGCTGTCTGTCTCTGACTTGCTTCAGGAAAGATCCTGCCGCCTTCTTGGAGCGCCCGGCTCTCTATTGTCTGAGACCACGTCTGTTAGTTTCATTGTATTTGGCTTTTGGATCACAACAGCTCAAAGATTACTGATGCTCAGGAATGATTCCTGACATGTCTCAGGGGCCCTATGGGGTGCTGGGCATCAAAGGCTGGTGTCTGGGTATTTTGTTTTATTTTCGGAGTCACATGCAGTGATTCTGGGGATTATACTCTTGGCTCTGCACTCTGGCATTGCACCTGGCAGTGCTTAGAGGACCCTATGGGACGGCAGGTATCACCAGCCCTGCCCACTATCCCCACCCCACTGTTCTGTTACACAGTTATGCTGCTTTGTTTCTTTTCATATTTATTTTTGTGCCACAGGGGAGATGCTCAGGGCTTCCTCTTGGCTCTGTGCTCCGGATTTCCACCTGATGTGCATCATGGGTCCCCGGGTGCACTGGCCCTGTTTGTGCACTGGCCCTGTTTGTGCCCTGGCAACTACAGGAACTCGGGTCCCCGGATATGTGTTTCCAATATTTTGTCCTTATCGCTTGGAGAGCTGCTCCTGCTATATCACACAGTCCAGCATTCATTGGCTGCTCGGTTTGTGGTTCTGGGCATGTGCTGGTCCCAGGGAAACAGAGCAAAGGATCTCTGGGGCCAACAGAGCTGTTGGGCTTAAGACACTTTGAGAGGCATTTGGGGTAGCCCTGAACTAGGATCAGATTCCTACAGGTTTATATGTGTATGCACAGCTTTCAGTCGGTGGCTGGACATTGAGTGTCCCCTTCTCCCTAGAACATGGGCTGTGGGATGCAGGGGGTGCATTTTTAGTGTTTTGAGCTGAAAGCAGGGTCACTCATTTGGGTCCCACTGATTGTGTGCTCAGTTGTCTCTCTCTGCAATGCTCATAGTAGCAATGGTGGAATTGCTGGGGTCAGGAGCTAGACGACCAACTTCAGGAACCTTCTAGTAGAGCATTTCTCACATTTTCATAGATGCAGCTGTCTTAGAAAGAAGTTGGGACCCGTCTGTCAGGAGTTCAGGTGGAAGCTGGTTCCTCCCGAGGGGACAGACCCTGAGCCCCTCTAGGGCCCTGGGGTCCTGACCTCACAGCCCAGGGAAAGGGGGGGGGGGGGGGCAGACCCTGACTCCTGCCTACTTTGTATGCCGGCTCAGGACACGGTGACCTTCCCCGACGTGACCGTGATCTTCACCCCAGAGGAGTGGACGTGCTTGGATGCCTCTCCAAGGAAGCTCTACAAGGATGTGATACTGGAGAACTACCAGCACCTGTGGGCCATTGGTGAGAGCAGTGTGGGCTCAACCTTGCCATGCGGGCTTCCTGTGCCGGGCCCTGACTGTGTGTCCAACAGTAGCTTTGACTGTCTTGGTGAGGACAGCGATTCAGTAGCTGTTTCTCTAGTTCCTTCCCTGGTTTTCTTGCTGGTGCTCACCTGGCGATGCTCGGGGCTTACGGTAAGCTCTGTCCATAGGAATCATTCTCTGTGGGTTTGCATGAATCTGGAGAGTTGGGGATTGACCCAGATTAGCCCCATGCAATGCAAGCTCCCCATGTGCGAAGCCATCACTTAAGTCCCTCTAAATAGTTCCTGGTTCCTGCCATTGCTGAGTTCTCTGATTAATTCTTGTACTACATATAATTTCTGTGTATTTGTTTTGGTTTTACTTTTATTTGGGGCACAACTGGAATATTCTTGTCTCTGTGCTGAGGGATCACTCCGGGGGGTGTTCATGGGCCATGGGGTGCTGAGGATTGAACACGCTTGGCAGCTTAAAAAGTTGCTGTCTTAATCCTGGTACTATTGCACCAGGCCCACAACTTCAGTTAATTTATTTTTATCTATTTTATTTATTTTATTTTTTTAAATTTTTATTAGTGAAACATCATGAGGTACAGTTGTAGACTTACAAATTTTTGTGCTTGGGTTTCAGTTATACAGTGATTGAGTGTCCATCCCTCCACTGTGCCCATTCTCCACCACCACTATTCCCAATATCCCTCCCACCCCCCATCCCCTCAGCCCACCCTGCCTCCGTGGCAGGGCATTCCCTTTTATTTTGTTTTGATTTGGTTTTCGGGTTATACTTACAAATACTTAGGATTATTTCTGGCTGATTATTCAGTTATTCATCCTGGTTGTGGTCCGGAACATTGTGTGTGGCTGGGAATCAATTCTGTATGTGTGTGCAGTGTTAGTGTCCTGCCTCCTGTAATATCGCTCCCTATACAGTTCATTTATTTCTTAGGGCCTCACTCCATAAGATGCTGCTCTATTTCAGTGCTCGTGGTTACTTTCAGTGGTTCTAGGTTCATAAGGACTCAAGTTGCCTCTGGACTATACAGTCAGGGATCACAGCTGATGGCTTGAGAGACCCTCCTGAATGTCAGGATCAAACTTTTATTGACCCTGAGCAAGGCCTTTGCATGACCTTCTGTGCTGTCTGTCTGCATCCTTTTATGTTCGTTTTTAAAACCAACTGGGGACTTTGATCATCTTTGACCATCTTTGGATTTGTTAAGCTTTGGGGTTTACTGCACTCAGGTATCAGCTCACGCAGGCTCAGTACATTGCATGTGATGCTGAGCCTAGAGTGACAGTACAGCGGGCACGGTGCTTGTCTTGCAAGTTATGCACATGCGTTCTGTCCTCACCATCCCATGTGATCCTCATGCACCACCAAAAGTGATTTCTGAATACACAGTCAGGGAGAAGCCTTGAGCATCCCCAGGTGAAGATCCCAAACTAGAGAAAAAAATACTACATACTGTGCTGTGATCAGACCCCTGTTGGTCCTTTAATACCTGGGCTATTCTGTTTGTGGTGTTTTCTGGGGCCCCAGATTCTCTTAAATTAAGACCTGAATCTTAGCTCTTGGATAACTCCAAATCTGGAGCATTTTAGAAGTGCAGATTCTGTTCATGCCTTTCCAGTAATTGACTCCATTTTTATAGGGCCACATGGGGTTTACTTGTCACGTTTTCCTTATCACTAATCCATGCTCCATCTCTGTGAGGTTCAGGGCATTCTGGGGTGAAGCCTGCAGTGATATCCTGGCTGGAAGGAGGAACCCTGAGGCCGGATCGGAGAGCCATGCATGCAGGTGAGTATCTGAGAACCCTCCATGGCTCAGGCCCTGGGCAGTGTGAGGGTTCCCTGAGCACGTGTTGCCCTGCTGACCCTGATACCCTTGGGTTCCTGGATCTAGGCATCTGTGCTGTATTAACGCTGCCCTTTGCTCCCACGGATTGTCTGTCATTCAGTAATCTTGCACTTTACTTTCTTGGCTTTGACATTATTTTTCCTCTTCTGCCAGACCATGAAATTCTCACTCTTTGGTCCCCCTCTCTTTTCCTTAACAGCCTGTCTGTACAGCCTATAATGTCGCTGTACCTTCAAAAAATTTTTTGCCTTTTTTATTTAGTTAATAAGTGAGTAAATTATAAAGCTGTTTTGGCTCTAAGTGATAATAATGCAGGAAATGTGCTTGTCCTGCACACTGTCCACCTGGTTCAATAACTAGCATCCCATATAGTTCCCTGAGCATCACTGTGAATGTTCAACAGACAAAACCCCAAAAACTGTCTTTTAGGTTTGTCCAGCTTTTCACAGCAATCCAACCCATGGACCTTCCCTTTTCTTTGGGATTCTTTGGACTATGAGAACCATAGAGATGTCCTCAAGCTGTACTGCCTGGTTAAGGATGTTACATTCGACGAATTCTTACATTGTGTATTGTGTTTGGTTTCAGAACTCAAAGCATGTCTTCAGGATTTTGGAACTCAGTCACCGAGTATGAGTGAGCCGGTAAGATTTGCAAGTTTGGAATCAGTATTATAATACTAACGGAAAATGTCAGTATACCAGCATGTTATTTTTAAAGTGCAGGACCGGGAATGGCCGGAAGAAAATTCAGAGTATGATGCTTGAGGTCGAGGACCCTTATCTTCACTGGGTGCTGGCATCTCTGCTCAAAACCTAAAGTAAATTGTAATATGTTTCATGTAAATGCCATGGTTTTTCATTTGATTGAAAGTATTTACAAATGGTAATCATGAAAAGAGCTTGTCTTTTAAACTGATCCATCCACATTGCTCCATGTGTTTCCCAGAGACCTACCGGGAATAATCCCTGAGCACTGTATGGTGTGTCCCCGCCCCCAAATGAAAACAAAATAGAGAACAGAAAAATTCATTGATCCTGAAAAGAATTTGCTTGTGGTGAGATGTTTTCAATGGCCCCTGTGGTCAGTCTCAGCAATGTGGGGTGCAGCATTTCTTCACAAATGCATCCCGGGCTCTACTCCACAGTGAGCTAGAACTGAACCCAGAGTTCAGTGTGTTTTATTTTTCTCTTGAATCTGGTGCATCAGTTTTCTGTGGAGGGAGGTAATTTTGCCCGTTCATTGAGTTGAAAAAAATATTTAACAAATTAATGGCCCCTCATTCATCAATTTTCCATGTGGGTCTTACAGTAAGATTAGGTTAGTCCATGTTAATGCCATCCACCTTTTGGGAATTGCATTGGTGTGTTGCAAATGTTAGAAATCAATCTGCAGGTATCAATTTCTTTTGACATGGACACTCTTAAGGCATAGAACGATAATTGGAGTCCTCTGTTGTTCTACAGGAAAGCAGCCAGCCCGAGTGGAATGTCTCTGACCATTAACACTGTGCAAAAGTTTCGAGTGTGCATTTGTGCCCTCAGCCACACAGGATTGCCAAGGCAAGCAGGATAGCCTCTGAGGGTGATCAGAATGGAGAGAGCAACCTCACTCTGAATAATCCCTCCCCGGGGAAAAGTTTCACACAGTCTGTTGTTCTGAGTCTATGGACACAAACCCCAACATTGGGGCAGACCCTTTAATGTGGGAGAGGAGCACTGTTTACAGTGAGTCCTCCACACCGAAAGGCCCACAAGCAAAGTCACCATGGGTTCACCCTGTCCAAGAGTAAGAAATGTGGGGGAGCTTCCCCGTGTTCCCAGGACCGTGATGTTCCCTTAGAAACCCACAGTGTACAGAATCCCCAAAAGTGTCATCAGCAAGGTCGTGGTTTGAATCCGGCATCACCCCAATGTGATGACATGAACATCCACAAAGGAGGGAAACCACATACATGTAAAGACTGTGCGAAGGCCTTCACTCGACCCTCAAACCTCTTAAAACATTGTAGAATCCATATTGGAAAGAAAGCGTATGTGTGTGAGCAATGTGGGAAGGTCTTTGGTTATTACTCACACCTTTCTAGACACAGGAAAATTCATACTGGAGAGAAACCTCATAAATATAAGACACGCGGAAAGGCCTTCACTCGATCGTCAACCCTTTCTGGGCATATGAAAACTCATACTGAAGAGATGCCTTATATTTGTAAGGAATGTGGGAAGGCCTTTAGTTATTCCTCCTTTAGTTATTCACGATGGAGTGAAGCCTTATGGATGTAAGGTATGTGGAAAGGCCTTTGTTTATTCCTCAAGACTTACCTGTCATATGAGAATTCACACTGGAGAGAGACCATATGTTTGTAATGAATGTGGGAAGGCCTTTGTTGTATCCTCAGGTCTTACTTGACATATGAGAATTCACAATGGAGAGAAGCCTTATGGATGTAAGGTATGTGGAAAGGCCTTTGTGGAATCCGCAACCGTTATTCGGCATATGCGAAAGCACACTGGAGTTTGTAAGGAGTGTGGGAAGGCCTTTGTTTCTGCCTCAACCCTTACTGGTCATGTGAGAATTCACAAGAGAGAGACCATTTGTTTGTAAGGAACGTGGGAGGGCCTTCCATCAGGCCTCCGGCCTATATGTACATAGGGCAGTTCACGCTGGTGTGAAATCTTATATATGTCAAGAATGTGGGAAGGCCTTTGTGTTTCATTCTGGTCTTAGGAAACATCGTAAAATTCATATTAAATAACTCAATGCCATAATAACAATTTTTTAATGTCAAAACAGGCCCCTTTGGAAAAGTCTGTTTTCTTTGTACCATGGGATGCTGTGCTACAAAAGTGAAGCCAGGGAGGTAATAATCCTGTCTATGTGTAACAAACTTTCTGTGATGTCAGTCTGTAAGGGAAAGTCTATGACAGGGTCCCCGAATTTGAACTTGATGTGTATCTTAACATGTACTTTTCAGATTTCTCCTGAAAGCTAAGAGGAATGTGAATAAAAATGCAAAAAAAAATCCCCTTTGCTCAGGGCTGTCAAGGTCAAGAGTGGCCGAGATTAGTACCAGGAATTTTGCTGCATGGCTTGGCGGCCAGCCACACATGCTAGGGGAAAAGGCAGCCCAGGTAGAGAAGGGAGCACCAAATAAAGGGTAATGGGAGGATCCTCCCAGGATGGGAGAAGCATGCTGAAAGTAGACTATAGACCAAACATGATTGCCATTCAATGCCTCTTTTGCAAACCACAACACCTAAAAGGAGAGAGAGAACAAAGGGGAATGCCCATACGAAGAGGCAGGGTGGGATGAGGGGGTGGGGGTTGGGAGGGATACAGGGATCCGTGGTGGTGGGAAATGGGCACTGGTTGAGGGATGGGTATTTGGTCATTGTATACTTGAAACCCAAGCACAAAAATTTGTATGTCTACAACTGTACCTCATGATGTCTCACTAATTAAAATTAAAAAATAAAAGAATGAATAAAAAGGCAAAATAAAATCACTTCACTCAGGGCTGTCAAGGCTCACCACTGTCTTATTCTTTGTTGTGACTTTGGCTTGACATTTGTTTTGCTTTTTGGTTCACACCCAGGGATGCTCTAGGGTTACTCCTGCCTCCACAATCAGTAGTTACTCCTGGCGGTTCCTGATGACCATATGGGATAGCAGGGATTGAAATTGAGCTGCCCCGTGCAAGGGAAAAGCCCTCACCTCTGGACTATTACTCCAGCCCCTGTGACTTGGTTTTGAGGCCCTGGGTTTGGGGGATTATGGCAGAAAACCGGCCACACCTTCGTTCTTCAGGGCCTCTTGATTCATTTTCTTTGAAGCCACACCCAGCTGAGTCCTACTCCTCACTCTCAGCTCAGTCATCCATACCTGGGGGACTCAGGATCATTATGGGGTACTGTGGTTTGAATCCAGGTGGGCTGTGTGATCAGCTTCTTCCCCCATGTCATCTCTGCCTCCCAGGTGTTCAGGTACTGGTTAGCGTTGTGTCAGTATAAAGGATAAATGTTTCAGAGAGTGTTATTTTAGTTAAATGGCCCTGGCAAGGTTCTTTAGTGGAGTGCCATGAAGGCATGTTTTTTTAAAATTTTAAACTTTGTTTTTCCCATCATTTGGGGTCATACCCCAAATACTCAGGTATTACTCCTGGTGGTGCTCCAGGAACCCTGTTAAACCTGGTGCAAGCCAAATTCTATCTGTTTTACCTATTCTTTGGCCCCTATTGGAAACGGTTTAAATCAATATTACTGTGTTTAGAAAGACATATGAAAGGGGTCTCTTGAATCAAATGTCTGACAAGTGCCAGGAATATGGGTCAGCTCCCCACAATCCAACAGGCCGTTCTGTTTACTTGTGATTTTTCACAAGGTTGGTCATGTTCCCCATGAGTTCAATAATAAGGTAAAGGTAAAGGCCCTCCCGTTGATCGTCGATTTGCTCGAGCGGGCCCAGTAACGTCTCCATTGGAGACTTTGTTGTTACTGTGTCTGGCATATCGAATACTCTCGGTAGCTTGCCAGGCTCTCCGAGAGGGGCGGAGGAATCGAACTCGGGTCGGCCATGTTGGCCGCTTGTAAGGCGAACGCCCTACCCGCTGTGCTATCGCTCCAGCCCTGTGAGTTCAATAATAATACAGAAAAAAAGTAAGTGTTATATTTAGAATTAGCAATTAGTCACTGCTATCACCGCATCTTGATTACTTCCCATGATACTCAGTATCCGGTGAATTGTACCAACTTTCCTGTTGTACCTTGAATCAACCCAGCTGCGTTTTCCCTGATGGACTGTGTGTCAGAGCATTGGGTCATTGTTTGACCAGTACAGGATCAGGGGTCTTCATATCCCCAGCCTCCCACTGTGTTGCCCACTACTCTCCACAGCTGACTCTCCACACCTTTGTTCTGTCCATGCCACATGAAGCACACATTCACCTGGGTGGGCAAAAAGGATCTCTGCATCTGGACCATGGTCCTTTAAGGCTCAGGTTCTGGCAGCAGTGGAAGTGGCATCCCAGGCCAGGGACCTTCAGATATTTTTTCTCTTCCCATTGTGGTTTGAATTGTTTCTCTTCCCATTGTGACAGAGGAACCCAGGTGTGTGGGACCCGGGGCTGAGATCTCCAAGCCTGCACAGTTTGGGACTGGACCTGCCAGAGTTACTGGCAGTTACACCCACCAACTGCCGTGTAACTCCAACAACGACCAGGATCCAGAGATCATCACACTCAGCTCCTGGGAGAGAACAAGACAGAGTCTCCTACCCTATGCCTGACTGTCTCCACCAGGGCCCAACAGCTGAAGACCATCGAGGCCCAGCCAAGGCCATGCTGGGAGCACTCTCCACACACTTGGATGAGCCTCACGCATAAAAGAACTGACAGAGGAACCCAGGTGTGTGGGACCCGGGGCTGAGATCTCCAAGCCTGCACAGTTTGGGACTGGACCTGCCAGAGTTACTGGCAGTTACACCCACCAACTGCCGTGTAACTCCAACAACGGCCAGGATCCAGAGATCATCACACTCAATTCCCAGAATTTGCGGCCGCGCGACATCTTATCATCTCATTCCTAATTTGGTCAAACTGGCAGGCTACCAAATGTAACATGCCCACACGGCAGAGTCTGGCAAACTCCCCGTGGTATACCCAATATGCCAAATACCAGTAACAATGATGGGTCTCATTCTCCTAACCCTGAAAAAGCCTTGAATATGGCACTTTAAAAAAAAAAAATCTCAGGGCTAGGACGAAGAAGACGTTACTGGCACCTGCTCGAGGCAATCGACGAACAACAGGGTGGTCGTGATCGTGATTGTGGTTGCATGACTCAAGACTCCATTGGTCTCATGGTAGAGGAGGAAATGGCGGCCCTTCGTGGAATGTGGACTGTGAAGACCTATTTTTTGTCAGGACGCGAGTGGCGGTTCGTGAGCGCCCAGTGCCTCCCATTCTCTGCCCTGAAAGAGCCGGGGCCGCTCCAGCTTTGGGGGTGGGCCCTTTTGTGCTTGTTCACTGCTTGCATATTGTCAATCATAGACTGTTGACTGGACAGTGTTCTCTGATGTTCCTACGAGCCTTTGCTCCTGTTTCACCATTTCTCCAGCACTCTGGACTGCTGCTAGGCCAATTCCTCTCTGCTCTTGTGCTGGCTTCGAGTCACTGCTTTCATCCAACCTTGATTGATTATTTCCTGGAGAAACTCATTGTCCCATGCACCACCTGCTCCCTATTGCCTGTTTTACTTTGCGATTTTCCTGATGCACTGTGTGTGAGAGCATTGGCTCATTGTTTGCCCAGTACGATACCAGGGGATTCTTACCTGTCGCTAGCCCTCCACTGTGTGACCGGCAAGTACAGCAGCTGCCTCTCCACCCCTTTGTGTGTGTGAGCCCATCCCCCTTGCACGACAGATTCTCCTGGTTTGGCACAAATTCTCTCCACATCTGGAGTCTGGCTCTTTAAGGCTGCTTGCGGAAACAGAGTGACATCACAGGAAGCCCTCCCTGGTGCTTCTATTCCTGGAAACTGGGTCAGTGTCATTGTTCACGTGGGTAAAGGATAGAATCGAGCCTCTGTGAGGAAGTGGGACTCTGAAGGCCGACTTTTTGGCAACACAGGGGTGATCTCTTGTGAGTGGCGGTTCCCCGTCTCCACACTGAGCTGCAGCTCCTTGTCAGCTGGGGGCACTTTTGCACTTGTTTTTCACGTGTCCCTCATATTAGGCGATTCCTGAGGCGAGGCGGATCTTTGACGGGGTGCAGAGGAGGAGGATGTGAGTGAGTGACCCTGGGCCAGGATCGCCTAAAGCTCTGTGATGGAGCATCGGAGGGTGGGTACTGGGCTGAGCAAGGAGCTGTGGGTATTGGGGGTGAGGGACCTGCCAACAGCAAGGGCTTGGCCATCCTGATCTTCAGCTGACCTACATTAGGACCTTCGCCCCAGTCTTGCCGCTCTAAAATCTCCAGATTCACTTTGGGCAGAGTCGCAGCTCCTGCAATTGTAAGAGACCCTATTACCGTCTGGCTTTTTCAATGGCTTCCAAGGTATGATGGGGCCATCCAGAGCAATGGATCTGTAGGTGACTGGGGTTTTAGTTTCCTTTTGGGGTTATTTTTGGTGTGGGAAATTGTGGGTTCTAAATGTGTGAATATACCCTGAGGGCTTACTCTGTCTCCTGGCTCAAGTATTTTGCCTGGAGTACTCTGGGGGCCATAGGCATGCATAGGGATGCAGGGGATTGACTGGTGTCAACAGGAAAACATCCTATTAGTTTTAGAGTCTGGCGGAACAGGAATTTCTGCTTCCTCGCATCAAGTTGAAAAGCCCTGTCTAGACCTATGTCTATTGAGGTGAGTACCTGGGGTAAACGGTGTGTGTGTTTGTGTGTGTGTGTGTGTGTGTGTGTGTGTGTGTGTGTAGAAAGTGGGTTTTTTTAAGAGGAGAAGGGCTGTCTCCGTGATAGAGCCACTATTCTGAGCTATGGTTGTGCGGCGCAGCCCTGCTGCCAGCCTGCGGGGGGGGGGGGGGGGGGGGGGCTGAGTCATGTGATCTGGCCTCCGAGTCAGCGCCTGGCTGTGCCTGTGAGAGCCTTCTTTGGGACCCAGGGAGGAGTCCTCAGGCCAAGGCTGAGCTGAGTTTTCTCCCTTGTAACCAAGCCCAGAGCTTGTGTTGTGGAAGGCAGCACAGATGCCAACCCATTTTGCCTCCCCTGGTATACAAAAGTATTAGGCAGTGTCCTCTAGGTGTGTCTGTGAGCCAGTGCTCGAGGGTGTGCCTGGTCAGGTCTGGGGGTTGTGCTCCATTCCAGTGCTCACTGCTCTGACTCTTCTTCCAGGTCTCTGATCTTCAGAAAAATCAGAGTCAGGAGAAGATGGTGACATGCCATCAGACATCCCATCCCTAGGTAGGAATAGAGTGACAAGATAAGGTGATGCAATAACAGGAGCACTCAGTCTTCTTGGGCCAAATGTCTCTGAGTTGTTCCAGGAAGGATCCTGCATTGTTCCTGCTTGTCGGAGGGCCCAACACTTTCTGTATGAGGCCCTGTTTGTTTCAGTTTTGTTATATTTGGCTTTTGAACCACACCCAGCTTAAAGAGTACTCATACCTTAGTGCTCAAGGATGACTCCTGACATGTCTCAGGGACCATATGGGATGCTGGGGGATGAAGGCTTGCGTCTGGGTATTTTGTTTTGTTTGGAGAGCTACACCCAGTGATTCTGGGAATTATTCTTAGTTTTTAACTGTGGCATTGCACCTGGCAGTGCTTGGAGGACCATATGGGAAGATTGGGTTCACAGCCCGACCTTCTTTTCTATTACTCCATACTGCTGCTTTATTTTCTTTCCTGTTTATTTTTGTGCCACAGTGGATGTGACCAGGCCTTGTTTTCTCTGTGCTCTGGATTCCCACCTGATGCACATCACGAGTCCCCCCAAGAGTGCTGGCCCGTTTTCGCCCTGTCAACTGCGGTGACTCAGATCCCAGGACATGTG